TTTTGCCTATAAAAACTAACTTCCCCAAGAAAGAGTAACTCTTCCCTGCCTCACTTGAGATGGCTTGAGATGAGTTCCCTGTCATGACTTGTAACAGATAAACCTTGCTTTTGCATTCTGGTATGCTCGTCCTTGGTGGTCTCTCTGGGGGTTACGATCTGGGCACAACAACTATGTTAAGTGAAAAAGTAAGGTACTGAGCAACGGTTTCCAATCTTTGTCTCTCTCTCTCAGCAGGGCTTCATGTACTCCTGGCTGGCCTAGAATCCACTCTGTAGACCAGGCTGGCCTCAGACTCCTGGAGATCCACCTGAGTGCTGGGACTGTTAGTTTTTAGGGGAGGAAGAGGCTGTGTATGAACGGCTCATGTGTGCATAAGATAGCTTAAAAAATGTTACAGGAAAACTAGGTCACATTGATTGCCTACAGCAAGGTGAATTTGGTGACTAGGAATCAGCATGGGGTGGGAGGGAGGGAGGAAGGAAGAGAGAGAGAGAGATCATTAATTCACTATATTCTATTTATAGATGACTAACTTTCCAAACAATTCTTCAATTTAAAAATAAAAAGGAAGCTCTAATATTGCTTACTTTTTTTTTTCCAGTTGTAAACACTATATTACAAATTGCCCATCAGCCCTTTTGAAGTGGACAGATATTTCTAAATGTTTGCTGTTAGAAATAGCCTGGATACGTACTTTGTATGTAAATACCTGATTTGGTCTTTTTAGGCTCCTTCACTTTGGTTATAAATTTTCGCAAAATAAAATGTAGCCAACACCCCAAACTAAACAGGAGTTTCCTATGTTATGTAGAGCTGTATTTGACAGCTGTGAGTGGGGATGCTGGGAAAGGCAGAATTTAATCGCCTTCGTGTAACACTTTTATAATCTCATTGGCAAGCTCACCCAGTCCTTGGCCTGCTGACACTCTGATTTTTCCAGGACAAGGCTCTCAAAGGGGAGATTGAGACGGGGCTACACGGTCCCTTTAAGATGTGAGCACAGCCTGGGTACTCCTAAGTCATGCAATGGGAAACTATTTGAACCGGAAACGAAGAATCCTGTTCTGCTCAGGGCTGTATACCTGGATGAAATCACCCCCTTCTCTGGCCGGGGCCTCCCTCACCTCCCTCACGGGATGATGCCTGTCCCTCTCTGTCCTGCAGTGAAGAGGCAGCTGCCAGGCCCGACAGACAGGGGCGGTGTTCAGGCCGAGGTTGTTTCTGTAGGTGAAAAGGACTCTGTGCTGGGGGAGCAAACAGAAAGCCCTTGTCTGCCTTTCTAGAAGCAGTTCCAACAGCCGGCACCTCCTCAGGTTAACGAGCTAGCAAAAGCCTGCGGGCTCCAGTGTGCAGCCAGGACTTGGCCTCAGGCATGACCCTGGGGCGCTGTGAGGACAGAGCTCTCTCTGGGGCTCTTTCCTAGCGCCCAAGGGCTAGGGTGTACTAGGAGACACCCACACCCACCCCGACACCGCCAGCGGCGCTTTACAGTCTGACAGGTTTCCCTGAATGCCTCCACCCTGTTCGCCTCCTTCCTGGGCTCAGATGATGGCTTACACCCCCCCCCCCCCCAGTGCTGGCTCAGGAGTGTGTTTATCCTCTGGGGCTGCAGTCCAGAGTTCGATTCAGAAAGCACATGGCAGGGCAGGATTGCTTCCGGTGATTAACAGGAGTATGCTCTTATCATCAGTTTCCATCAGTAATTAAGACTTCATTCCAAAACTATTTGCGAGGCTCTTAGCTCACAGATTCTACAGGGGACCTGCTCAATAGAAGCTTGCAGGCTTTCTAGATACAGATTTGTAAGCCTGGGGTGGAGACATGGCTAATGGTTAAGAACACTGGCTGCTCTCCAGAGGACCGGAGTTCGATTCTCAGCACCCAAGTATCAGCTCACAATCATCTGTAACTCTAGCTCCAAGGGATCTGACATTGAGACCACCAGCTTCTGGTCTCAGTGGGCACTAGGTACACACGTGGAGCACAGATACATATTTACTCCTGTTTTATGTGTAGGCCTGTTTTGCTTATGGGTGTATCTGTGTACCACGTGTGTACCTAGTGACCACAGAGATCAGAAAAGGGTGTTGGATCTCCTGGATTTGGAGTTACAGATGGTTGTGAGCTACCATGTTCGTTCTGGAAATCAAACCCAGGTCCTCTGCAGGAGCAGCCAAGTGTTTTCTTGTTTGTTTGTTTGTTTTTCGAGACAGAGTTTCTCTGTGTAGCCCTGCCTGTCCTGGAACTCATCTGTAGACCAGGCTGGCCTCGAACTCAGAGACCCACCTGCCTCTGCCTTCCGAGTGCTGGGACTAAAGGAGTGTGCCACCACTGCCCAGTCTAACAGTAGGTGTTCTTAATTACTAAGCCATCTCTCCAGCCCCCAGGTAAATAAGTCTTTTTAAAAAAAGATAAATAAAAGTTTGAATACATGGCTTCAGAATACTGTCCCCCTAGAGGGTATTGTTATCTGATCTCCACTGTCTTATCTAAATTGATTCCAATTCAATGTGTACCCATCATTAATGATCAAGGAGTTTGCATAATAAAGTTGTTCTGTTCAAAATTATTGACACTACACAGCAAAACACACAATTTAATTAATAAACCTGAACTTTAAAACTGGTTACTTGAATAAAGCTGAATGACTTTTAAATTTTAATATTTTTAAAACTCACATACTAAGTGCCTTTTATTTTTTAAAAGATTTATTTTTAATTATGTGTATGCATTGTATCTGTGTAGGTATGTGCACATGCCCGCCTCGGTTTGTGGGCTGGAGTTAGAGGTGGAGGTGCTGGGAAGTGAACTCAAACCCTCTGCAGGAGCGGCGTGCACTCTGAGCTGCTGCTGAGCCCTCTCACCGTTTCAGACTTTCTCCAAGGCCCCCCCCCCCCCCCCCCCCCTTCGTGCCCCGGCTCCAAGCCAGACCCCTTAAAGTGTCCACCTCCATCTTTATGTCCTCTTCTTATTTTTTATAGTTCCCTGAGTCCAAGGAACGCGGCCAGCATGCCTGTGGGTGTGGGGCCGTCCAATGGAGCCTGGTCAGCCCACCAGCCCTCCCACCAGGAAGAAAAGCTGCTCCAGAGCTAAGGGTGGAGGTCATGAGCCCCTCCCCCATCAGTGCTGGAATGCTGATTGGCCTGCTTGTGTGCCGGTCTTGTGTGGGTCACCATGGCTGCAGTGAGGTCCTGAGAGAGTAAGCTGTCTCCTGAAGAGATGCTCCTCTCATCCTTCGCTCTTGCTTCTTTCCATCTGCCCTACTGTGGTGTTTGCCAAGTCTCTGGGGCTTGATACTGAGTTTCCACTTAGAGCTGCGCACTCCATCACGTATTCTTAGGACTTTAACCAGTTATGAGTTATTGTTATCAATAAACTGATATGTATGTGCATGTGTGTGTACGTGTGTATGTATGTATATGTATGAGTGTGTGTGTGTGTGAGTGTGTGAGTGTATGTGGGGGGGTGGGGGGGTGTAGGGAGCTGCCATTCAAAGATGGCGCTGGCTTCCTGGTAGCCTAGCTGTAAACAACTCCATATTTGGCTATGATGCACGAATATGGTAATTGGCCTTATGTCCTCAGCCTATCCCGTGGCTCCCTGTGCTAGCATTCTGGCGGGACCCAATCACAGTACGGCACGTTTGCCTGATTCCCTATATAAGCAGCTACAGTTTAGTCCTCGGGGCCGCCCCTCACCTCCCGCTCTCCCTTAATCAAGAGGCGCTCCAATAAAGTGTGATCTGAGAAGAATCCTCAGTGGTGGTCGTTCTTCCTCGCTGGCCGAGGAGCGCGCCGCAGCTGGTGCCGAAACCCGGGAAGGAAACTTCGGACACCAGGTGAGGGGTCGAAGAGGATTCAGAACTCAGCACATGGAGCGGTGACGTCGGTAAGTTCGCCAGGAACGACGACGTCGGTAAGTTCTCCAGGTATGCTGATTACTGGGATTAATCCGCAGCCCTTCGCTCAGACATGGTAAACGGGTATCGGTAATGCGGGCATTACCGCGACAGGGGGGATGGGGGTGGTGGTGGTGGTGGTGGTGGTGGTGTTTTTGGACAGTCTCACAGCTCTAGCTGGCCTGGAAAAAAGAGACCAGGCTGGCCATAAACTCAGAGGTCTGCCTGCCTCTGCCTCCCAAATGCTGGGATTAAATGCAAATGCCACATCCCAGCACTATTCTAATTTTGGTTGTTTTGTGCCTCCCCCACCCCGATAAGTGGCGAACAGCTGGTTTTAGGCTCCCAGAATCCTCGGAGAGCTGGTGGGACCAACCCCTCTGGTTCTTTCTCATCTTGGCTTGCCTCCTTGTCTGCTTTCTACTGGAGTATAATTCCTTAGCATCCGGGGCTGCACCTCCCTGGTTGACTGAAGGCGGGGGCTGCTGCCCAGTGCTCTGTGTACACCAGGTGCTGCTGCCTGGAGCCTCTAGCCTGGGCTCCTGTGTTCAGCAACTGGTGAAGGTCAACAGTCACTCCCCGAGAGCCTGCTGAGGGCCCCAGAATGAGGAGGAACACCCCCCCCCCCTCCACACACACACACACACACACACACACTGAATGCTCCAGGGATAAGCTAACAAATGCTAAAAAGGAAAAGAGGCATATAAATTAGCATGCAAATTGGTATTATGGCCTGGGCTTGTGGAATGTCACAGGCAGTACAACTGCCTGCTAAGCCCAAATGATTCACAAGCCTGTGCCCCCATTTGTGGTAGGTGAGGGCAGACTAAGGGCTTATCGACATTTTGGGGGGGCGGTGATTATTGGGAGAAATGGATGTTTCCCACAGAGAAGTGCTTGTAAAGAATTCTCTTTGTTGGGTGTGGCGACACCTGCAGTCCCAGCACTCAGAGGTAAGGTCAGTCCGTGCTGTACCAGCCTGTCTCCAAACAACAAATGGAAACAAATCCCCTGGCGGATTTGCATGAGCCCCAGTAGCAGGTGTCTGGTAAGGGAGGTTCTGCCAGCTGTGGCTGCTTCGTCCTTCTGCTCTGCTGTAGGTCGCCAGTGGGGTTTCGAGAAGATGGGGATGGAGACGGGCAATGTCCCTTTACAGGCAGTCAGCTCGCTCGCTCGCTCGCTCTCAAAGAGAGAAGCGCGCCTGCTCCTTCGCGGTGTGGTTGGTAGGAACGGCACATGCTTTCTTTAGCTTTGCCAAATGCTATACTTTGGGAGTACTGGGCTCAATGTTAAGACCCACATACGTTCCCTTCACATGCTCCAGGGCATTATGGGAAATGAACACACATTCTGGGCCCTTTGGGGGCCAAAGGAGGAGGCTTGTTTACTGAGGCTGGGGATCTGGAAGAGAAGGAGCTTGGGGTTTTGGACATGAATAAGGCAGATGTTAAACTCCTCCTGGCTTTGTTTAAGGAATGATGGTGTCTTGCTAATTGCAAAGTTCTGAGACTAGCAGGGTTAGATGGAATGACGTTTTTGCTTTGTCTAGGTAACTGCATGAGGACCCCCCACTCCAACAGCATGGGAACCTACTGCAGGGGTCCATACCTACCTGGCCGCTTATTAAATGACGGGCCCAGCACCTGGCACTGTCGTGTAGCCCCTAAAAGTCCCTGTAAGGCGCCTCCCTGCCTCGGTTTGGGCCTCTTCAGCCTGAAGTTAACTCTTGTTCTGCAGAGAGCAGCTTCCTTACTGGGAGGCTATTCTGAAAGTATCTCAATGCACAGAAATTCAAAAGAACCCAAATCTTCAGGCTAGGCCTAATGATTTTGGAGACTGGCCCTGGTTTCTCAGATTCCCAGATCTCAGTGCCCTGGCTCCCTCACTTCCTGGGTTGGCCCTCATGTCCCAGTGTTACCTGGGTTGTGATTTTCAGCTTCTAGGGCTGATGTACATATGTGGATACAATCAGCCCCTTGCTGATTTGTGGCTGTAGAGATGCTTGGAGGTTAAGAACACTGGCCTCCTTGAACATCAGGCACACAAGTGGTCCACAGGAATACATGCAGGCAAAATACCCATACAATAAAATAAAAATAAAATCAGAAGCAAGACACAAGTCTTGTGACAGTTAACACTGGTTGTCAGCATGGCTGGGTTGAGGGATGCTGGGAAATGGTACACTGGAGAGCTGGCCCAGGTTTTGAAGGGGAGGCAAGGGAAACCAGAGGCTGTGATGGCAATGGACAGGACAGATGACTGTTCAGGCCTGGCTCCTCATTGTCCCCACTGGAGGATGTCATCATCACTTCTGAGGAACCCTGGGTAACCCTGGGCATTATGGGTAAGCAAATTCATCTTCTTACAGAATTTGTCTTATTCGATTCTAAATACATTTGAGATTAAACCATCCTGTAAGTCCACAGTTGTTCCTGGAATGGAAGGTCAAAATAGATGCAGTTAATGTTCCTACACACATAGAGTGAAGGTACGAGATGAAAAGTTGGTATTGCCATGGAATGGAAGGGCAGTGGAAGCTACAAGGGTTTTCACTTGAGATGGTGCCGCAGTGGCTCTTAAGGGCTTTTTAAAGGAGAAGGACGGGAACATTGTAAATTCTGTGTCAGGCCTGTGCAGTGTGTATGGTCAACAGCCCAGGACCTAAACTTTCTGTTTAACTCTGCTCAGGGGCAAGGCACTTGCCCAGGGGAGGACTGACAGTCAGATGTCACCCACATGCCAGTCTGCTCAGGGTGGAAGCCTCTGGTAGTGCTAATAGACGCCTTGGGGGTAGGTGGAGGCTTTCCCCTCAGAACCGAGAAAGCTACAGAAGTAACGAGGATTTATTAAAGGAATTATCTCTCGACTTGAGTCGCCTCAGTCACTACAAATGAAAATGAATTCCTTTACTTCACAAATAACCCAAGAAGTGACTAAGGTATTAGATATTAGATCTCATTTACATTCTGCCTGGAGGCCTCAGTTCCCTGAAAAAGTAGAAAGAGCCAATCAAACCTTGCAGGATGTCTCAGCCAAACTTTGCCAAGACATTTCAGAGAAATTGCCACCCATACCCCCATCTCCCCTACAGGGATGTGAAATACCCTGAGAACAAAAATGAAAACGACCCCTGGGAAAGGCTTTATGGGAGACTATTTTATAGGATGACTTGATAGCAGACCCGGAGACAGGGCAGATCTTACTAATTTGGGGCATTTCAAAGGTCAATTAGGGGATTTGTCTTTCTCTACTCCAGAATATAGCCCTGTTATGTTAATCTCAAGATCAAACCTGCAGAACAGGTCCTAATACCTCTGTAGAAAGGCTCCTTATCAGACCAACTTACTCCAAAAATGGAAGGGCCCCTACACCGTCATCTGGGCGACTCCAATGGCAATAAAGGTCGTTGGAAGTGTACAGCCAGATTCATCTTTTCAGAGAGAGAATTTCTTTTAATAAATCCCGCCGGTCCCACTGACTCCAGAACGTGCAGGTGAACTAACTGTAGAGGAGTGCTCTTCCAAACACAGCCTGAAGGGAAGGGGAACACCTGCTTATTACTTTGGCTCCGACCAGGCCCCGCCCACAGCCATGTTCCTGGGCGTCCTGCTCTGTTCTCTGGTGGAAACAGCTGCTGCCGGGGAGCCTGGTGCCTAGTCTCTGAGTCACTGAACCACGTCTGTCTCGAACTTCTCCAAGCCCTGCTGGTTATGCCTTTCCACCCGTGAAGGGCTTGTGTGCAGCTAGCCCTGACGCAGCCTGAACCCTAACAGAAGCAGTGGCAACCAGCCAGGAGGAGGAGCTTGGAAAACCCAGATGCCCCGGTCCTGTCCTGAATTAACTCAGAACTGCGCACCTCCCCTCCTGCCTGGCCTTTACTCACACAGCTAAGCTGGGACTCAACTCTTTTTTTTCCTTTCCTTCCAGACAGGGTTTCTCTGTGTAGCTTTGCACCTTTCCTGGAACTCACTCTGTAGACCAGGCTGGCCTTGAACTCACAGAGATCGGCCTGGCTCTGCCTCCCGAGTGCTGGGATTAAAGACGTGCGCCACCACTGCCCGGCTGTGACTCAACTCTTAAATTACCTTTTTGCTACTTGGTGAGACGGCTCAGGCCTACACGGGGTGGAAGCCTGCCCCACAGTCACACTAGGTCCACCTTCCTTGCAGAAGCTCGGAGCTGGTTAATCATCAATCATCGGCAGGAACGACCCTACATCCTCTCAAGAGCGTCCCTTTTCCCTTGTTCTCTGCTCCTGTTACTCCTCCTGCCCTCTCCATCCCCCCTCCCCTGACTTAGGTTATGGACAGCTCGTCTTAGGTTTTTCTGAGGGAGCCCTGCCTCTAGATCAATTCAAGTAATTGATACATATATGTAATAACAAGTGTTCTTGGCTCCCAAGGGTTTTTAAAAGAGGAACTTTATACCTTCAAAGGCTAAGCCAATCAAACCCAGCCCAAATAACCCAGGATCTCCCCGTTGGTTGGTGCC